CGAAGAAACTCAGGCACAAAAACAGTTATCAGATTGCCAAAAGGGCATGTAGTTTTAGAAATCGGACTGAAATCCAGCTTTCCTGACTCTAAGTCCTCTGTTAATCTACCAGTCATGGACTGAGCTTCTACTATGGGCTATGTATTGTGCTAAATATAGACCAACACAGAATAATTCCTTAATCTTACAGACTTTTTCATAGTACCCTGTTTCAAATTTAAAAGGCTGGAGTGACTCAAAAACGGAAAGCAGCTGGTGAGCTAAGTTTTCAAGGATCTCAAGTACAGGAGGAGAAGGAACCCTCATATTTGGAATAAAGCATGGTGAATTTAGGGGCAGAGAAGAGGGAGCAAAGAGGAGAGTAGAAATCCTTAGTCAGGAGACTGCTGTCAAGTGTCCCCCGCAAAAATACTCCTTTGCAAGTGGGCTGCAGTGAAAAGGGTGCCTCATATGTGGCTGCCAGGTAAATACCTTTGTTATTATAGGTTTTCAGCCTTGTTTAATGGGGAATTGTTTTGCTATGAGCTTTCAGTTTTCTAGTAGTCAATGAGAAAAAATGGAAAAAATGACTTTTACCTAAGTTCCCTTTATAGAAACTTATATTCTTAGTTCATCAAGTAAGGAGTGATTTTTTTTTTAGATATCTCTGTTTCTTTTGTCTTTGGTGGGAGATGATTTTAGATTGAGCACTAATACTTGACTTAGCAGTTTTCTCTGCTTTACCTTCTTTTGTAGGTGGCATTGCCAGGACTTACACAGATCAGTGTGTTCAGATTCTAACAGAGTTGCTGGGTCTTCGACAAGAGCACATTACCACAGGTAATGCCTACTTTTCTAGAATTTTTTTTTCTTTGTCAAGTACCTGGCCTATAGTAGTTGCTGAAAACACGTTTGTTGTTGAATGAGTAATATAGATTGAAACTTTTCCTTGCATCATCATCTGTTGCTGTTAGAGAAGCATAGGGTCTATAGATCTAATAGGATATTGAGTTTTCGGGCTGTCATGAGCCCGTAAGGCTGTACCGTAGATAATGAAGGCTACTAGGATAACCTTGCTCGATATTTCACCATCTTTCTTCTCTTTTCATTTTATGGCAGTATGCCATAGGCAGTGGCTTGCAGGGTTGGAACTAGGGAAAGTCAAGCAAGGTGCCTAGGCTGCAAAATGTAAGAAGGCGCTCACTCCTAGTTCCTGCAAGAGCCGACCCTGCATGTCTTCTTCTGTCTTAAACCCTACGCACCTTACTTGCCTTGTCATTGTCCCAGTCCGGGTGGTTCCATTTATACTGTCTTTAGTGTGTCATTCAACAGCAATACTACCTCACAACTGTATATACAGCTTTACGTTTACAAAGTGCTTTGTCATACATTATTAGCTCATTTATCTTTACATCAACCTGATAAGAGCAATATTCATTTAAGAAATTATTGCTCATTTCATTACATTTCTTAACCACTGACCACACCTCTAAAACCCATTTTACAGAAACCCAGCCAGAACCGTGAGTCTGAATACACTACTGTTGTTAAGATTCCTCCCTGCCTGGAGGCTCTAATCCTGTGCTCTTGTACCTTGGCCTGTATTGTAGTGGTGGTGCAGACTTTCCGAGACCTGGTTTGGTTGTGTCCTCAGTGTACCGAAGCTGTGTGTCAGGCCCTGCCCGGCTGTGAGGAGAACATTCAAGATAGTGAGGTAGACTGTAATTCTTTACTTCTAAGTAGAGGGAGAATGCTTGAACCCTGCCCTTTGAAATAGAATCTAATTATTCTCTCTTCTCTGTGTTTGAAGTAGACATTCTTAGAATTGATTGCCACCTTAGATTCTCTTTTGGATGTAGATGGCATATAAATTATAAAAACAAGATTTATCTATGGTTTTTATTATAAAACTCTGATACGACTTTTGAACAGTTTTGTTTTGTTTTGCTTGAGATAGTCAGCCAGGCTGGAGCACAGTGGCGCTATCTCGGCTCACTGCAACCTCTACCTCGTAGACTCAAGTGATTCTCCTGCCTCAGCCTCTGAGTAGCTGGGATTACAGGTGTGCACCACCTTGCCCAGCTAATTTTTGTATTTGTAGTACAGAGGGTTTTGCCATGTTGCCTAGGCTGGTCTAGAATTCCTAGTCTCAAGTGATCCATTCACCTCAGCCTCCCAAAGAGCTGGGATTACAGGCATGAGCCACTGCCCCCAGGCCCTCTTGAACAGCTTTGAGTCAGAGATTTGACCATGGAGTTTTTAGCTAGAATGAGAATTAGAATCATTTGTGAAATTTTTACAAAGATCTGGACTTAATCATGGGTCTGCTGACCTAATATTCAGGGGTAGTGGACCTAGACAGATAATTTTTTTTTTTTTTTTGAGATGGAGTCTAGCTCTGTCACCCAGGCTGGATGGGATGCAGTGACACCATCTCGGCTCACTGCAATCTCTGCCTCCCAGTTTCAAGCAATTCTATTGTCTCAACCTCCTGAGTAGGTGGTACTACAGGTGTGCACCACCATGCCTGGCTATTTTTTGTACTTTTAATAGAGATGGGGTTTCACCATGTTGGCCAGGCTGGTCTCAAACTCCTGACCTCAGGTAATCCACCCGCCTTGGCCTCCCAAAGTGCTGAGATTACAGGCTTAAGCCACTGCACCCAGCTGACAGATATATTTTTAAGAAGCTTCACAGATGGCTCTGATGTGCACTCTAGATTAGTAACCACTTTCCTGAAAAATTTAGAGAAATTCTTTGAGCAGCTTCCACTGAAACACTAAACCCCAGCTGGGCCAGAGGCCCCAAAGTTGAGGAAACCTCAACTTTGAGTTTCCTCTTGTGTATTAGAATTTCATTTCTATTTGTTGTAGAGAGTACAATAGGGGGAATCAATAAATTAAATAAAGTAAACTAAAGATTATGCCTTTCCTGCTGGCGCTAAGCAAAAAGCAAAACCAGTGATTGTCTACTATCTCCTGAGTTTTGGACAGCCAAGTGTTGCACACTTGCTCTTATCCCTTTATTCCCTAGGGGAAGCAAGCACTTATTTGGCTACTGGGGGTCCACGGGGAAAGAATTCCTAATGCTCCTTATGTGTTAGAGGACTTTGTTGAGAATGTGAAGTCAGAGACATTTCCAGCTGTTAAGATGGAGCTACTCACTGCTTTGATGCGCCTTTTCCTCTCACGACCTGCTGAGTGCCAGGACATGCTGGGACGTTTGTTGTATTACTGCATAGGTAGGTTTTTCAGAAGGAAATAGTACTTGCCATGACCCATAGTAAAAATTCTTAATAGCTTTCATTGTTTGGTGAGTCATGTCTGGGACCAGAGGAGAAAATGTTAATGCTTCCTGGGGTTTCCTCTCCCCTTCATTTTCTTATCCTATTTTGGTTGGCACAAGGGTAGGAGGAAAGTGCTTTTGTTTTTAATGAATTCAATCTGTTGTCTTACCTCAGAGGAAGAAAAGGATATGGCTGTACGGGACCGAGGTCTCTTCTATTATCGCCTCCTCTTAGTTGGCATTGATGAAGTTAAGCGGATTCTGTGTAGCCCTAAATCTGACCCTACTCTTGGACTTCTGGAGGATCCGGCAGAAAGACCTGTGAACAGCTGGGCCTCAGACTTCAACACACTGGTGCCGGTGTATGGCAAATCCCGCTGGGCAACTATCTCTAAATGTCAGGGGGCAGAGCGTTGTGGCCCAGAGCTTCCTAAAACGCCATCCTTTACTGCATCAGGTAAGCAAGTCCTTACCTTAAATGTTGTCATGATGAATCTTTACCTTTTCAGTGATTGGTGGAAAGTAGAGTATCCTGGCACTAAATCTCAGACTGTTGCCTGAATTTCAAGCGTTTGTGAGCAAGAAAGGTTCATCATTGGTTATTTCGGCCATTTATCCAAAGACAGAAGTCATATTGTGTACGTTCGGGAATTTGGATTAAAAACCTAGCTCCTACAGATTAAGAAGATCTTTCACACAAGTTTTCTATCTCTTTTAGGACCCTTGATTCCTGAAGAGAACAAGGAGAGGGTACAAGAACTCCCTGATTCTGGAGCCCTCATGCTAGTCCCCAATCTGCAGCTTACTGCTGATTATTTTGAGAAAACTTGGCTTAGCCTCAAAGTTGCTCATCAGCAAGTGTTGCCTTGGCAGGGAGAATTCCATCCTGACACCCTCCAGATGGCTCTTCAAGTAGTGAACATCCAGACCATTGCAATGAGTAGGGCTGGGGCTCGGCCGTGGAAAGCATACCTCAGTGCTCAGGATGATACTGGCTGTCTGTTCTTAACAGAACTGCTGTTGACATCTGAAAACTCAGAAATGCAGATCTCTGTGAAACAAAATGAAACAAGAACCGAGACGCTTAATAGTTTTATTTCTGTATTAGAAACTGTGATTGGAACAATTGAAGAAATAAAATCATAAGTTTGTTTCTTGTCCAGAGTAAGATGAATAACGATCACAGTTTCTTAGTCTTTCTTATTAGAGCTGCCAGTAAGTCCAGATAATGTCGGATACAAAAGAGAGTGGAAAATCTAGGAATCAGGATTCTGACATTTTTGGCAAAAGAAGATTGATTTATTAATTTCATTCCTATTGGCAATTGACCCCATTTATCAATGATGATGTTGTAAAGGTAAACGTTGGCAAGGGGATGGGGTGAGGATGGCATTTGGATTATTTCCTCATCAATTTTAGGAAATGTGTTAGTAATTAAAGATGGTGGATGTGTGGAAACTGACAGGTTCATCATTTATGAGGGTCATCTTTTCCTCCCTGGATTGTTATAGTAAATTCCTAACTGTTCTCATATTTCCAATCGTGCTTTTTAGGCCAGAGTCCAAAGTCCTTAATGTCATCTAATGTACCTCTGGTGTCAAGTCTTGCCACTCCCAAAATGCCTTCTCCTCTGGTAGAAGCAAACCACTTGCATTGCAGTTCCCCGAATACACCACCTTCTTTCACCTCTGTGCTTTAACTTAAACCTGCTTTTATTTATTGACTAGAACATTTTCTCACCCTCATATCTTCTTTAGCACCTAGTCTATCTTTCAGTGTTCAGCTCACTCATGAACTCTTTCAAGAACTTTTCTGTAACCCTCACTGCCTTCATTAGGGGTTTCCTTCAAGCTGTCATAGTAGCCAGAGCATACCTCTAGCCATAGTATGTCATTGTTTCTTGTTGCTTGTCCTCAATTTTTATTCTGTTCTTATCTGACCACATTTTGTACATTGAAGCAACTTATGGCAAGAACAAATCTAATAAAATGCTGGTAAAATATGAGACTAGCAAATCCAGAATGGAAAAAATTAAAATACCAGTTAAGACCTGCTGGGTTGGGGATTGGGAAATACACAAATGTTCAGGCTATATGGGCCTATTAGATGATAGTTGAGCCTTGATTTGTCTCTCTAGGTGATTTAGCAGTCAGAGTTAAGGGAAACAGTTGTAATTGTTATCAGAGAGGAAGAAACACTAAAATATGTACACGATCCTACGAGTAGTTAGGAATGGGTTTCACATGACTTTCTTACAGTATTCTGCAATGAAAGCAGAGAGCACGACTTTATAGAGCTTAGACTGCGTGCAGTCACTCTTCTTGGTAACCCAGCTCTTTGGGAGGCCAAGGAGGGAGGATTGCTTGATGCTAGAAGTTCAAGATCAGCCTGGACAGCATAGTGAGACCTGTCTCTAAAAACTGAGTTAGTCAGGCATGGCAGCACATGCCTGAAATCCCAGCTGGTCAAAAGGCAGAGGCAGGAGCATTGCTTGAGCCCAAGAGTTTGAGCTTACAGAGAATGGTGATCATACCACTGCACTCCAGCCTGAGTGACAGAATGAAACCCTGTCAAATGAAAAAAACAAAAAAACATACATACAAAAATAGTAATCCAGACATGGTGACTCATGCCTTTAATCTCAGCACTTTGGGAGACCAAGGCAGGTGGATCCCTTGAGGCTAGGAGTTTGAGACCAGCCTGGGCAATGTAGTGAGACCCCCATCTCTACAAAAGTAAAAAATTAGTCAGGTATGGTGGTGTGTGCCTGTAGTCCCAGCTACTTGGGAGGCTGAGGTGGGAGCATTGCTTGAGCCTAAGAGGTCGAGGCTACGGTAAGCTATGATCATGCCACTGCACTCCAGCCTGGTTGACAGAGCAAGACCTGTCTCAGTAATAATAATAATAACATGGTACTTAATGAAGGCATTTCTTCAAGGGCTTAAGATAACATGATCTAAGTATATAGCCTTCATCATCCAGCTTAATTCAAGGATTTCTACTACCTAGATACATAGATGAACACATATCCTTCAGGTAATTTTTCACCCATCACTTCTCTCAATGAGACTTTTTTTTCTGTGATGGAGTCTTGCTGTGTCACCCAGGCTGCAGTGCAGTGATGTGATCTCAGCACATTGCAACCTCCACATTCTGGATTCAAGCCATCCTCTTGCCTCAGCCTCCCAAAAAGCTGGGACTACAGGCATGCACCACCATACCCGACTAATTTTTGTATTTTTAGTAGAGACAGGTTTTCACCATGATGGCCAGGCTGGTAACTCCTGACCTCAGGTGTTACCCGGCCTCAACTAGGCTTACAGGCATAAGCCACTGTGCCCAGCCTGAACAACTTTTAAGAATGATTCTTTCTTTTTATTTCCATAGTGCCTGCCACATAGTATTAGCAAATCTTTCTTGAATGGCTATAAATAATTAGATTCTCATGTGTGGATTGATGTTTGAAATGGGTTTTATGATATTGTATCAACTATGTGGAAAATAATGGAATTTCATCTAAACCAGGATTTCTTTAAAGTGGCAATACTGACATTTGAGGCCAGATAATTCTTTGATGTGAGAGACTTTCCTCTGTACTGTAGAATGATTATTAGCACTATCTCTGGCCTCTATCCACTGGATGCCAGTAGAATCCTCAGTTGTAACAACTCAAAATGTCTCTAGACATAGTCAAAGGTCTCCTAGGGTAGGAGGCAAAATTGCCATTACTTGAGAACCACTGATTTAGACTATGGATCCTCAGGGATAGGAAAGGTAAGGACAGCTTCAGAATTGCACTTTCTGTATTTTTATGGTTCAGTTAAATGGTGAATGTTTAATTAGTTACTAAGAGAAATAAAATTGAAGTGCTGCCAATTCAAAGTGTAGCAAGGGAACAGGATGCAGGTGGTGGAAACTGAGTAAATTGGTATGACTCGGCCACTGACTAAATAGTAACACTAAAGTGAGCCCAACTATCGGAGCTTTTAGAAGACTATGTTGTCCTTGGTTGCTGTTCTATAAGACGCAGACATAGAATATGAAATTGTTGCTTTTGGAAAATATACTTTTAAGATGATCTCAATGAAGAACTGATTTCTCCTGTAGCCTGGTTTTACTAATTTATTATAAGCCAAATGACTAAAGCTCAAGTATACTATGAAGTTAATTCTTTTAATCTTTTCCCCCCAGGAACCCTGTGTAGCTTCTGCAGACATGGGATTTGATGATGTGATATAAGTAGATGTTTGTGTTTTCCAAACCATGAAGGTATTCGATACTGTGCTCTTAAGAACAGCGGCCTTCTAATGTCATTCTTAGTTGACAGGTAAACAGTATGTTATGCATATAATGAGGTCCCACAGAGACAATATGTTTTGGAACACTGCAGAGGCAACAATTTGCATAGTTACCATAATTTTATAGTTATGAATCAGTAACTGTGATATGTTTCCATTCTTCCTATTTTTGAACAGGCGTTCTGTTAAGATTATTATATTCCTTTCTTAGATATAGGGTGTTTAGGGGAGAGGGGACACATTGCTTGTTTTCTTAGTTACAAGTCTCCATGTTGAGAGGAGTTGCACCCAAGGATCTTCATCCACGTGCACATCTGGTACAGATGACAAGAACCTGGACTTTAAGCCAATGATATAATGAGACAAAGCTTTTTGGGGAGGGATGTAAATTGTTGTAGCCAGAGTGGCAAGGGAAACAAGTTGACAAGGAAAAAATTCTGGCCTCATCATTTTTCAGTAATAATTAAAAGCACAATATTAGAACTGCAAGGGTGAAGGTACGTGGGCTGAGGGAAAGGGATGGTTTGGGAGGGTGCCATATTGAAGGTCCAGAAGAAGTAAACAAAGGTGGAAAATTTACTCCACATTGCCAATGAGAGCCTGTAATCTATTCCTGTAGCTTTACAACATTGATTATACAAGACAATGTAAAGGAGTCAAAATTGGATTTTTTTTTTTTTTTTTTTGACTCAGGGTCTCGCTTTGTTGTCCAGGCTAGGGTGCAGTGGTGTGATCATGGCTCAGTGCAGACTTGTCCTGGGCTCATGTGATCCTCCTACTTCAGCTTCCTGAGTAGCTGGGACTGTAGGTGCATGCCACCTCAAGATTCGATTTCAAAGATAGCATAAGCATATTGATAGTGAAATGAGGAAGGTGGTTTATTACTGTGGGAAAGCTTGAGTTTGATATAAGACAGACTTGGTTTAAAATTTATATTCTGCCACTTACTGATGTGTGAACTTGGGCAAGCTATTTTATATCAACTGGATGATCTCATAAACATTGTTGTCTTTTATATATTGTTTTGGGAGTATGTCACAAATGTATTTTTTAGGATCCTTAAACTGTCAGTGGCTAGCTCTAATGTGAGAGGAGGTTGGCCTAGAATTTTCTCTGAGTGCCCTTGTGATGTTAGAGGTCTGAAGCCTACTTAGTAATAATGGAAGCTTCAGCCCTTTTGTCTCTAGAGAGAATGAGCAATAGATAATGACAACTGAAAATGGCACTTTAGGTCTCTGTCGTCCTTTTCTTGCTTCAATAACAACAACAAAAAAAAGAAAATGGCACTTTAACTACATGGGAACATAATTTGTGTTCTTACTCTAAAAGCAATTTATGATCATTTTGAAAAATTAAGACTTTTTAAGAGCAGTTTTAGGTTCAAAGCAAAATTGAAACAAAGGTACAGAGATTTTCCAAATACCCTCTGCCCCCACACAAGCATAATCTCCTGTTATCAACATCCCCAATCGAAGTGGTACATTTGTTATAATTGAGGAACTTCCCTCATCAATTATTACCCAAAGTCCAACTATCACCCAAATTCCTCCTCATCTTTTCATGTCTTGATAGCTCATTTCTTTTCAGCACTAAATCATGTCTATTTTCTGTATGTATCACAGTTTATCCATTTACCTACTGAGGGACATCTTGGTTGCTTCCAGGTTTGGGCAGTTGTGAATAAAGCTGCTATGGACATCCATGTGCAAGTTTTTTGTGTAGACAAGTTTTCTACTCCTTTGGGTAGATACCAAGGAGTATGGAGTATAATTGCTAAATCATATGGGAAGAGGATATTTGGTTTTGTAAGAAACTGCCAAACTCTTCCAAAGTGGCTGTACCCTTTTGCATTCCTACCAGCGATGAATGACAGTTCCTGCCCACATCCTCACCAGCATTTGGTTTTGCCAGTGTTCTGGATTTGGCCATTTTAATAAGTGTATAGCAGTCACATGCGTTTTAGAATGAAACAGAAAACATCAGATTGGCTTTGATATTTTGCAAGACAGAAATTCCATTCTGAACAACTGACTTACTGTTTATGCTTCAATCTTTTATTTTTGAGACGGACTCTCACTCTGTGTGGTCTCAGCTCACCACAACCTCTGCCTCCAGATTCAAACGATTCTCATGCCTCAGCCTCCCGAGTAGCTGGGATTACAGGTGCGCACCACCACACTCAGCTAATTTTTGTATTTTTTAGTAGAGATGGATTTCGCCATGTTAGCCAGGCTGGTCGTGAACTCCTGACCTCAGGTAATCCACCTACCTCGGCCTCCCAAAGTGGTGGGATTACAGGTGTGAGCCACCGCACCTGGCCTATGCTTGAATCTTTCATTAGTTGGAGCTGTTAATAACTTCAGGTCAGACAGGTTTGAATGATAAGTTTGCTGATAGGTTTGATTGCTGCTTCTGAGACCCAGACTCAAAATCTAGGTTTAGCTACATTAAGAAGGCAACCACTACAGTTAAGTGTCCAATCCTGAGTTCTCTTAAAACAATGATGGAGTCCAAGCCTGTTAGGAAAATCCTTTTGCTAGAGAGAGAATCTCCGGTCTCTTTCATCCTGGTCATTAGGCCTTGGGCTAAAAGGAGGACATTTAACATTTATTGTATGCCAGACAGTGCTAGGCCATTCCACATAATGTCATCTTATTTAATCCTTATAATTTCTCTGTGAAATATTTTGTATTGTCCCTATTTCTAATCCAAGTTGTTTCAGTTTCTTTTTTATCCTTCCCAGACTTTATATCTGCTACCCGTCCAACTAGAACAGTGTTATGCCTTCTTTTTGTATGATGAATGCCTACTTATTCCTCAGAGCTCATCTCAGATGTTACTGTTTTAAAGAAGCCTTCCCAGTCCCCTGGGCATGTTTCCCTATTACACTATCAAAGTCTTGATTCCCTGTTACACTCACTGATTAAAGTGCACTGATCTCCATAGCACAATTAACTATGTGATTAGTCATTTAATATCTTTCATTTCTGCTCAAGTATAAGCCTCATGAGCACATAACTGTGCCTGTGTCATTTTTCTATATTACTTGCAGTGCCATGCATAGTTCCTTGTTCGGTAAATAATTATTGTATGGTTATGGCAAATAAATTCCATAAACAGAAGTTGAATGCTGGTCCACTGTAACTTTAAAACCTTCCTTTAAATTATACCATATATAGGACCTAAGAAGGAAGCATTTCTTAATGAAATTACCCCAGAGGCTCTTCCTGAACCCTATTTCAGTTCTAGATTGGCTAATGATAAAAGTTATTCATTAATCTTACATGGTTAGGGTGTGGTCTGAGATAAAGAACTTGAAGTCTTTTAAGTAGATAATCCTTTCAGAGAAGTCTCATCTTTCTGCGGAGTCGTGTTCGAAGGAAGCTAGTGGGAAAAATTCCAGGACTACATGTCCAGTCAGGAAACTACAAGAGGTAGAAACATTTGTTGATTTAGTAGTGTCTTTAACTTCCTGCTGGGCTGAAAATAGCTTTTGTGGAAAAGCAAAACTTGGCAGCAGACCTCTAAAATGAAGAGCCCCCAAACTTTTGAGGAACAAACGGAATGCATTGTGAACACTCTACTCATGGACTTCTTGAGCCCAACATTGCAGGTTGCCAACCGGGACCTAGGCTGTGAAGATGAAGTAGATTCAGGTAAGGCTCCTGGCCAGAGGTGGTGATTGCAGGTCAATAAGAGTATGTTTTTGGTCGGGTGTGGTGGCTGACTCCTGTAATCCCAGCACTTTGGGAGGCCAAGGTGGGTGGATCACCTTAGGTCAGGAGTTCAAGACCAGCCTGGCCAACATGGTGAAACCCCATCTCTACTAAAAATACAAAAATTAGCTGGGTGTGTCGGCTCACACCTGTTGTCCCAGCTACATGGGAGACCGAGGCACAAGAATTGCTTGAACTTGGGAGGCAGAGGATGCAGTGAGCTGAGATCACCCCACTGCACTCCAGCCTGGGCAACAGAGTGAGACTTGGTCTCAGAAAAAAAAAGTATGTTTTATTTCCTTTAAGTTTCAAAAGGCAAACTCAAAGCTTTCAGCAACACCTGAAGTGAAAGAGATTCTCAATGAAGGGAAACTTTCTGACTATTGGCGTTGACAGAACATTTAAGTTCTTGGGAGATAATAATGTAAAAATTATTTAAAAGGCAAGATAACTTTTTCTCATTGCCCAGATTCCTGGGACTTGCCTTTGCTTCACGGATTGTAACAAATATGTTCCCTCTGTCATAGGGCAGTTTTGCTCTTTTGATGTAGCAATCATTGCTGGTCGCCTTCGGATGTTGGGTGACCAGTTCAACGGAGAACTGGAAGCTTCTGCCAAAAGCGTCATTGCAGAAACCATTCAGGGACAGGTGAAGTTTCTACTTTGTGCTATTGTTGCTGCTTTTTTTTTTTCTATTTTAAACTTCCTTTTCTTACAACTCCCACACTACGGTGACTAGGAATGTTTTGTGAAAATATTTGGGGGCCTATATTCCAAGGAGGTATAGCAAGAATTCTCCAATTGCTAAAACCTAAGTTGTCTAGAGATGGAAAACTTTTGGCATAGGCTGACAAACATTCTGCTTGGTCTTCATCAGAGCTGTGCTTAGTGTGTGTAGAGCACATTGATAGTACTTTATTCTTGGCAAAGTATAATATCTTTTTTCTTTTTTTTTGACACAGGGTCTTACTCTGTCACCCAGGCTGGAGTGCAGTGGCGTGATCTCAGCTCATTGCAGCCTCAACCTTCTGGGCTCAAGAGATCCTTCCACCTCAGCCTCCTGAGTAGCTGGGACTTCAGGCAAGTGCCACCATGCCCATCTAATTTTTTTAAATGTATTTTTAGTAGAGATGGTGTTTTGCCATGTTGCCTGGACTGGTCTTGAACTCCTGAGCTCAGGTGATCCTCCCACCTCTGTCCTTCAAAGTGCTGGGATTACAGGTGTGAGCTAACACACCCAGCCTATGCATATTTTGATAGTTATTTTGTTGGGGTGGGCATCTTTTCCTCTCAGGGTCCAGCAGTGAAGTATATACAGGAATGATAGGCAGTTTACAAGTCTGATGCAATGAGGGATAAGCCCTACAGCAGCCCACTGGCTTTTCATCAGAATGCTGATTACTGGAAGTACCACTTGGACTCTGTATTAGATTTTAAGTCTAGGAGAGGTTGCTGATTTATGTCAACAATGACAGCTAATATTAACCTATCACTTACCATGTGCTATTATTATCTCATTTAATCATTATGTGCCTGTATTGGTTATCACGGAAGCTGTTACTGGTACAGCAACCTCTCCCCACCTGCATATAACACCACAAGAACAAACATCTAACCTTTTTTGTTCACTAACATATTCACACAACCTATAACAGTGCCTTGTGTATAATAAGTCCTCAGTAAGATTTCTGTGTTTTATTTTTTTTTTTTTTTTGAGACCAAGTCTCACTGCAACCTCTGCCACACAAATTCAAGTGATTTTCCTGCCTCAGCCTCTGAGTAGCTGGGATTACAGGCACCTGCTACCATGCCCAGCTAATTTTTGTATTTTTAGTAGAAACAGGGTTTTACCATGTTGCCGAGGCTGGTCTTGAACTCTTGACCTCAGGTGATCCACCCGCCTCAGACTTTTTTCCTCATTAAACAGATTTTTTTTGGCTGGGTGCCAGGGCTCATGCCTCCCAAAGTGTTGGGATTACCGGTGTGAGCCACCACTCCTGGCCCATCTGGGTGTATCATTTGAGGTCAGGAGTTCAAGACCAGCCTGGCCAACATGGTGAAACCTCATCTCTATTAAAAATACAAAAATTAGCCAGGCAGATCACTTGAGGTCAGGAGTTCAACACCAGCCTGGCCAACATGGAGAATCCTGTCTCTACTAAAAATACAAAAATTAGCTGAGTGTGGTGGCACATGCCTGTAATCCCAGCTACTAGGGAGGCTGAAGCAGGAGAATCACCTGACCCCTGGAGGGTGGAGGTTGCAGTGAGCTGAGATTGTGCCACTGCACTCCAGCCTGGGCGACAGAGTGAGACTCTGTTTCAAAAAAAAGAACCATACTCTTACCATTATGCTTTATTCTTCCTGCTGTACACAGTTTGGGCGGTATGCCTACACTACATTCAGGCAGAAGTGGACCTGTTATTTCCAGTTGCTTGCTCTGAGGCTATCCTACATAGTTGATAGCTGAGTTGACTTTTTTTCTCATTAAACAGATTTTTTTGGCTGGGTGCCGTGGATCATGCCTGTAATCCCAGCACTTTGGGAGGCTGAGGCAGGTGGATCACCTGAGGTCAGGAGTTCACCATGCCTGGTCAGCATGGTGAAACCCCGTCTCTACAAAAATTAGCCGGGCATGGTGGTGTGCACCTGTAATCCCAGCTACTCAAGAGGCAGGAGAATCACTTGAACTCGGGAGGCAGAGGGAGGTTGCAATGAACTGAGGTCTCGCCACTGTACTCCACTGAGTGACAGAGCAAGACCTTCTCTCTAAATAAATAATACAAACACAAATAGAAAAATTAGCCAGGTGTGGTGGCACACAACTGTAATCCCATCTACTCTGGGAGGCTGAGACATGAGAGTTGCTTGAACCCAGGAGGTGGAAGTTGCAGTCAGCCAAGATGGTGCCATTGCACTCTAACCTTAAAAAAGTATTTTTTGAAATAGCCCTAAACTCAGGAAAAAGTTGCAAGGTTCCAAATAATTTCTGTCTTGAATCATTTGACAGTAAGGAGTTGACATGATGTTTCATCAGCCCCTAATACTTTTATACTTCCTTCAAACAAGGACATTCTCTAATGTAACCAAATCTAACAATCAAAACCAGGAAATTCATTGATTCATTATCATCTAATCCTTAGATCTTATTCAAGTTTTGCCATTTGTCTCGATAGATAATGTAATTTATAGTAAAAAGTTGTAGGCCAGGGTCACAGATTGCATTTAGTTGTCACGTCTCTTTAGTTTCCTTCAATCTGGAATTTTTCCTCAGTCTTTCCTTGATTTTCATGATCTTGACACTTGGTCTGTCTTGTTGAATGTCCCTAACTTGTGTTTGTTTAATGCTTCTTGAATAAATTCAGGATCTGTACCTTTGGTAGGAATATCACAGAAGTAGTGCTATGTTCTCAGTGCATTGCATCAGCTGGCACAAGATTTCATTTTGTTCCAGTACTGATGTTAACTTTAGTTACTTAAGATGGTGTCTGTAAGGCTTCTCCACTATAAAGTTACTCTTTTCTCCTTTGTAATTAATAAGTGTTTTATAGAGAGGTACTTTGAAACTATGTAAATATCCCATATCTCATCAAAATTTCAATGCATTCATTTCTTATTAGCATTGGACCCATAAATTTTTACTTTATTCAGTGGATTATAATCTGTTACATCAGTATTTATTTAGATGCTCAAATCATCCAAGTTTTAACTAGCTGGAGTCCTTTCACTCTGGACGGCATCTCTTTGATGTGTCTCTATTATTATTTGAGTATTCCTTAATTTCTTTTTTTTTTTTTTTTGAGTACCAATAAGTCTTTATTCATTGTATTTTTCCAGGGAAAGGAGAAGGGAAGGGAAGAGTCAGCATGTGTTAATAAATGATTAGAAAATGGGAAAGGAAATAGCCAGTACAGCAAAATCAACCATCAAATAAACGCACCCCAGTGATGGGGTCACCAGAGCCCAAAGGGGCTCGATCTCCTGCAGTTTAGGAATGAGGGAAAGGGATCAGGAAAAGAACAGACAGGTACAGGCTTTCCTACCCTCCCTCCCATAAATTCAAGATTTTACACAAAGCTTTGGTTTCTAGCAGTAAACATGGAGTTACATTCGTTCGTCTCCTATTAAACAATCTTGTGGCCACTTTGACTTAAGTTTCTAGCACCTGCATAAAAGTTTCTGAGTGATTTGGATATACATTCATATTCCCTTTCTTGGCCTCCTGACCCCACTTTCTATATGGAAGGCCCCCAATTGTATCTGCTTTAGGATTAAAAATTAAGTAAGTTTGATCCATCTAAAATACAGCAGTGTCTTTTTTTTTGTTTTTGTTTTGAGATGGAGTCTTGCTCTGTCACCCAGGCTGGAGTGCAGTGGCACCATCTCAACTTACTGCAACCTCTATCTCCCAGTTTCAAGTGATTCCCCTGCCTCTGCCTCCCGAGTAGCCAGGATTATACGCACATACCACCATGCCCGGCTAAGTTTTTGTATTTTAGTAGAGATGGGGTTTCACAGTGTTGGCCAGGATGGTCTTGAACTCCTGACCTCATGATCCACCCACCTCAGCTGCCCAAAGTACTGGGATTACAGGCATGAGGCACCACGCCTGGCCTACAGCAGTGTCTTAAGTGTTTGTCATGAATACATCAAGAAATGTTCGGCCGGACATGGTGGCGCACCAAAACAAATGTATTGGTCTTGATTCAGGAGGCTGGAACAAGGAATGGAGGGTTTCTAGCTTCTTCTGGATTTTCGCATACATTGTTTAAAACTTGTGGAGACACTCCAAGCATTAAATGTGTATGAGTGTGGGTGTGTAGGTTCTCTTTTGGGAGTGAACAGAAAAGAGGGCAGGATGGAAGACACATTTTTAGGACAGAAGATTTGGTCTGATAGGTAAAGAGGAATACAAAAGAAAGGATGGTTCAAGATCCCCACTTTAAGAAGAGGGCCCCCCAAACTAATGTTTCAGATCTTTTTGCCTGGTGCAGAACCTTCTGTCAAAGATGCTTTGGCTATTTTTCTCTCAATACAAAAAGAAGTTTGTAAACAAAACCCCAAAGAACACGGAGAAAGACCAATACATTATATTTACACAAACTAGGCCACCTAGCAATCACCAAATTAGTGAAGTCCTACAAAGCCCAGACAAATACAATAACTAGAGGGGGGCAGCATTTAGGGGAGCCAAGAACCCAGGATCAGACACACACCACCCAACGTGTTCTATTGCATTTGTCCTGTTTCAACACAGTGAGGTAGGTTTGCGGTGATCTCACAGCATGTAAACGAAACCCCCTTTCTCCTTTAGCCATCGTGACACTAGGAATCACTACTGCAGCAGGGCAGGACACCGGCCCCAGGCGCCACAAAGCCCTGCTCGTGTGTCTTCCTGGAACCCAAGAATTTCGACAGGTTAAGGATTTTAGACCCTACTTCATATAGCCGTCCCTTGACAGCACAGGACTAAGTAGAGGGGTACTGGTCTTAAAACTTATCCTTACCAACTCCGGTTTTATGAACACACACACGCTGTTGTGCATGGTAGGCCCCGTCTAATCTGGTGAAGAATGGATCTGGGATGTAAAGCCCGTCCTGTGCCCTAGGATTAGACAACCCTCACCTAATATTGGCTTCCTCTCTGGGCCTTTCACCTGGCCCAGCCTCTTCTAGCCTCTCTGCATCACCATTTCCTGTTTAGACTAATTTCCAATCTTCCAGTAGGAGGCAATCAAGTCATGGGGCAACCCAGTTAAAACCTAGTCTCCCATAAAACATTTTCAAGGCAGATGGGGTTTCAAGAGGACACTATGGCAGAAAAGCCAGCTGTCATTGGCAAAAATGAGGTAGTTCAATAGGCTGTGCACTCCAAATCGTTGCTCTCCACGGTGGCAAAAACGACATAAAGGATTCCTGCTGTGCACACCTGGAGCTGCTGCCGACTTACCCCTGAGATCACTCATGTACCTGAGAACACAGTGCAGGGAATGAGGGCCTTAGATTAAAATATACAAAAATACAAAACCAGAATATTTATATTAAGGAAAAAAAAAGTTAAAATGCACAAGATACGTCATTCGCACACAGCTAGTGCAGTTGGCATCCTGGAGAAAGTGGGACCCAAGGTGCAGTATCCAAGGGAGCAAATAAATCAAATCACATTGACCCAGAATGGGACGGGGTGAGTGTAGGGGCAGCAGGTCTGCAACTGTTCCCCCAAACACCCTTTTTGCCATCATCACTACCCATTGCTTGGGACAGTTGCCAGCACCCTATCCCAAAAATGGGTATGAGGATATAAGATGTGGGAAAAAAAAAACTGCCTTATTCCTGAGAGATTCGCTTCCACAGAATGTAGTGGCTTGGCTCCATGAATCTGGTCTTACACTTAATCATTTCACTCTGGCATGGGAATTATTATTATACCTTCTTCTTTAAAAGGAAAACCACTTCCCTATCCAGGCCACTTTCAAAAGCTGGAAATTCTGGGGATGGAGCCTCAGATAAAGCGTGCAGGTTGTAGGGTGATTCCCTCCTCCTGGTCACCCCCAGAACCCTCACTTGCGTTTGGACAGAGCATGGATGGAGTTCCTTTGACTCATCCTTTCCCCTGACCTAGAGGGAAGAAAGGGTGATGGTGTGAACCCCAGCCTGAGATATATGGCAGTGCCAACTAGCCCCAATGCACCCTATTCCCACTTTCTCCACTCTGCCTGCTCCTCGAAACTTCCTGATAGCAAAAGAATAGCCCCTCACCCACTGGGGCTCAATTCTGGGCCTCCGGGAGCAGGGCAGGGCTGTAGATTTCTTCTTCTTCCTCCCAAAAGTATGTTGGCTTTCCCTGTGCGCTAGGGGCCTGCTGGGCCTTCAGTGGACATGAGGCTACCATATGGCTGATGCTCTGGCAGCAGTGGCACTTCTTGGGCTGGGGTGGCAGCTTGCATTCCTCGGCATGATGGTCTAGACCTCCACAGTTGTAGCACTTGTCTCCTGATCTGCGTTTCTGCATGTTCTTCCCCTTTGGCCGCCTCTCACTCCCAATACAGAACACCCAACCAGGTCCAGTGACACCGATGGATTCCAGACCCTTGGCTGACTTCTTAAAGGTGAACTCCACGGCCTCACCTTCCTTCAAGCTCCGGAAGCCCTCCATGTGCAGCTTACTCTGGTGCACAAAGACGTTTACTGGGGGGTCGAGCGCGACCCTGGCGCGGGCGGTCATGGACAGGAAGCCGAACCCCATGCGCACGTTGAACCACTTACAGATGCCTGCACCGTGCAGCAGCTGAGGCTCGTCCGCCGCCCGGGCCGCATCCGCTGGCGCCTCCTCTGGCGCCTCTTCTGCTACCTTGGCGCAGCCACCTGCAAACTGTTGGTTGGACACGGAGCCCATGGTAGTCGGCTGAGCCCGTGGCCCCGGGCCCCTAGGCGGGCGGCTGCTGGCCCCAGAGAAGTCCGAAGGCCGAGTATTCCTTAATTTCTAACAGAAGATCTTATACTTGCCTAGCCCCAAACTGAAATAAACCATTCTCTAGAAAGCTCTGGTTTCTTTTAATGGAGAATGATATTTAGAAATCAAGATCTAGGTGCCCTCCCACATGGATGTCCTTTTTAGCTTGTTTGGGTTCTGATATTCAGCTCTGACCACCCTTGGCCTCCCTAAATCCCCACAGGTCTTGCTTTGACCTACCGAATGGCTTTTGGATTCTATTTTTGAAAAGGAAAGAGGAAAAGAGCGAGCTACTCAATTATTTTAAATTAATTATTATTTTATTTTTATTTTTTGAGACAGAGTCTCGCCCTGTTGCCAGGCACCAGGGGGGAGTGCAGTGGCACAATCTCAGCTTACTGCAACCTCCGCCTCCTGGGTTCAAGCAATTCTTCTGCCTCAGTAGTCCCGAGTAGCTGGGACTACAGGCACATGCCACCATGCCCAGCTAATTTTTGTATTTTTTTTAGTAGAGACGGGGTTTTACCATGTTGGCCAGGATGGTCTTGATCTCTTGACCTCGTGATCCGCCCACCTCAGCCTCCTAAAGTGCTGGGATTACAGGCATGAGCCACCGCGCCTAGCCGTTTTTTATTTTTAATTATTATTTTTGAGACAATCTTGCTCTGTCACCTAGGCTGGAGTGCAGTGTTGCAATCATAGCTCACTGCAGCCTCAATCTCCTAGGCTCAGGTGGTCCTCCCACCTCAGTCTCCTAAGTAGATGGAACTGTAGGCATGTGCCACTATGCCTAGCTACTTTTTTAAATTTTTAATAGAGACAGGGTCTCACTGTGTTGCCCAGGCTGGTCTTGAGCTCCTGACCTCATGTGATCCTCCCATTTTTGCCTCCCAAAGGGTTGGGATTATAGGTGTGAACCACTGCACGTGGCCTTTTTTTTTTTTTTTTTTCTTTGCTCTGTCACCCTGGCTGGAGTACAGTGGTGTGATCTCAGCTCACTGCAACTCTGCCTTCCAGGTTCAAGTGATTCTCCTGCCTCAGCCTTCCAAGGAGCTGGGATTACAGGCCTGTACCACCACGCTCAGCTAATTTTTGTATTTTTAGTAGAGATAGGGTTTTGCCATGTTGGCCAGGCTGGTCTTGAACTCCTGACGTCAGGTGATATGCCTGCCTCAGCCTCCCAAAATGCTGAGATTACAGAGTGAGCCACTGCAGCCAGCCTCTTTTTTTTTTTCTTTTTTTAGCTTTAGAGTTTCCCAGACATTGCCTAGTCGTTCAAGCAGTACCTTTACAATTTGACCAGTTGGGCCATCACATACTTAATACTTTTCTTTCAAATTGTTTTTTATTCATTGTGTTTAACCTAAGCAAAGACCTGAAATCATGGGTTTGATGAACTACTTATGTATTTTCTTTTTTTTCTTTTATTTGCAGCCCCAGCTGTTGCACTACTTATGTATTTTCAAATGCCCATTAAGATAACAAAATATTAAAACAAAGATTATCCATCTACCCTCTCAGATTTCCTTAGATACCACCAATGGCACATGTGGCGCTGTTTTAGAAACAATCACTTTACTGGATCCCTGCGCCTGCAGCCTCCTGCACTTTTTGAGTGATACTCTATTGATACTTCCTTTGTCTTTCCTCAGGCAGGAGCTATGCTTCAGAGTACGGTGGAATCTCTCAGCAGGACCTGGTGTGGCTCAGATTCTAGCTTAGGTTTATGAGAGAGCCTTTCTGGCAGTGTCAGTGAAACTTCTTGAGTGTGTGGCTCACACAGCCCCTGAAGTGGTGAGACAGGTGGCTCTCTCCATGACGGGTATGATCAATGGGAACAGAGCCATCCGGGAGTTCATCCAGGGCCAGGGAGGTTGGGTAAGTATGTTGGGGCTCCTGGTTTTGCTAGGTATTTGCACTGTTTTTGTACTAATACCTGGGATTCCAATTCATGACTCTTTTTGTAAATTGGAAACCAACAGGAAAACAGGCTTCCCTACTTTGCGAAAATGCCTGGATTTTCTTGCTATGAAATAGTGGAGCAGAGAGAAGTTCAGCCTGTGGGAGCTGGACTCCAGAGTCATGCTACCTAAAATATTGCCTGCTGAATACTGTAAAGCTAATCTTCATTTCCTACACATAATCATCTATAAAGTATATTCATGGTAGAGTTCTAATTTCAGCCTGGCTTCGTTCTCTGGTAAATTTCTGGGTCTTTTTTTTTCTGTAACATCTTTATATGTATGTTAAGGAGTCAGAATCACCTTAATAGAGATCTAAGAAAAAACAGTCGGCCAGGCGCCGTGGCTCATACCTGTAATCACAACACTTTGGGGGGCTGAGGCGGACAGATCACAAGGTCAGGAGTTCGAGACCAGCCTGGCCAACATGGTGAAACCCTGTCTTTACTAAAAATACAAAAATAAGCTGGATGTGGTGGTGCGTGCCTGTAATACTAGCTACTCAGGAGGCTGAGGCTGGAGAATTGTTTGATCCCAGGAGGCAGAGGTTGCAGTGAGCTGAGATCGCGCCACTGCACTCCAGCTGGGTGACTGAGTAAGAATCTGTCTCAGGAAAAAAAAAAAGTAAAAAAAACAGTCTTTGCTGTAGTGGTGACTGTAGAAGGTGTTCTAAGCCCATGTTTTAGTAATCATTAGAACTTCTGCTGTCATAGAGCACCCTTTCCATTCCCAGGGTCCAGGAAAACCTTAATTAGAGCTACATTTCCTAAAGGTATCTGCAGATCACTTCCTGGTTTCTTAGGAAGTTCCTGAAAGCCATTCCTTTGACTGTAAGATTTTCATAGTCTTTCCTAGGAAAATCTGGAGAGCTGAAGAGGTGGAGCTATTCACCAGACTGAACATCACTTCCTTGTTTACTGATTGATTCCTGGCCATTCAAACAAACAAATCAACAAACAAACAAAAACCCACCTTTTTCATTTTAGCAGAACTGAACTTGGCTGAATAAGTTATTTTTTACTGATTGTTAAAGTTGGGAGCGGCTGCCAGAGGCCACCAGAGTTGTGTTTTTTTGTTTTGTTTTGTTTTGTCAACTTAAACCACAGGCAGAGATTTTCTACTTTCTGTTTTCACATGAGTTTTAATGAGGTTCTGTTGAAGTAATGACTTGTTAGTAGTGGAATTACAAGCAACAGGGCAGGCCTTTGCTGGAGATAATTTGAGAGAAAGGGAGAACTATGGAAACTATTCCTTAAGATTTAGCCCTGTCCTTTGGTAAGAATCTCGTCCACTAATTTTACAATTTAAAGGATTTCAGGAAGCTTTTGGGTTGAAAATCTTATTTTAAGTTGAATATTTTCATTCAAAATCATACCTAAACTTCATGTTAATTTCACCTGAGAGGGACTATTTTATGCATTTTAGAGATTGGAAGGAAAAACATCAACAACAACAACAAAAATTAAACAGTTGTTTCTACTAGGAAGATCAAAGAAAGTAAAAGTTACTGATTTTTACTGCTGCAGGATGCAGGAAGTGCTGGCCCACATGTAGGACAGCAAGGCCACCCCTTAGATGAAGCTAGCTGCATAGCACAGAGTTTAAAAAGTGTGCTTCACACACCACTTGAGGACCGTATTAAATTGCTAATTCACATCCTAGAGATTCTGATTCTGTAGGGGAAGGCTGGAGCCCAGGAACCTACCTTTTAAACAAGTTCCACAGGTGATTCTGATGTACATAGAGTATGACAGGCATCACTCTAGAGAATGGATTGACAAATTACAGCCCACAGGTCAAAGCTGGCCTGCTGTCTTATTTTATAAATAAAGTTTTATTGGAATAGAGCTACAGTCACTTGTTTACATGTTGTCCATGGCTGCTTTTGCTATACAATGGCAGAGTTGAATAATTCTGACAGATACCATATGGCTGGTTAAGTCCAAAATATTTACTAAATGGAATATTACATTACTACATCCAGCTAATTTATTGTGTTTTTAGTAGAGACAGAGTTTCTCCATGTTGGTCAGGCTGGTTTTGAACTCCCGACCTCAGGTGATTTGCCTGCCTGAGCCTCCCAAAGTGTTGGGATTACAGGCATGAGTCACTGTGCCCAGCCAATTTTTTTACTTTTTAAAGTTATGCTTTGGCTGGGCAGGGTGGCTCACGCCTGTAATTCAAGCACTTTGAGTGGCCAAGCTGGGTGTGTCACCTGCGGTCTGGAGTTGAAGACCAGTCTGGCCAAGTGGTGAAACCCTGTCTCTCCTAAAATACAAAAAATTAGCCAGGCGTGGTGGCACATTCCTGTAATCCCAGCTACTGAGGAGGCTGAGGCAGGAGAATCACTTGAACCCGGGAGGCGGAGGTGGCAGTGAGCTGAGATCCCATCATTGCACTCTAGCCTGGGTGACAAAAGCGAAACTCTGTCTCAAAATAAATAAATAAAAATAAATAAAGTTATGCTTTTTCCTCTATTCCTAGTTAAATCACAACAGTTTAGCAATTAGTCAATTAGATGTCTTGTTTCTCTTTAGTAGAAATTATATTTTTGGCAACCAAGTAAGATGCTTGTACTCCTTTGTCCCTTGTATTCCTATAAACTCAAGTTGATGAGTTTTGTGGTATTTGACTTCTTAGGCAAAATCAAAATTTTTACTTTGACTGTTGCTATTCTGTTTATGAAATAAATTTTTGTCTATGCATTTGAACTAAGTTTCAGCAAGGTCAATCTAAATTAAATAATTCCAACTCCCAGTTTTATCCTATGTTGCTCATAAAACAGTTTCAAGTATACCCCATTATCTGGAGATTTGAAGATACGTTGCCCATGGGGATTATAGTCAGCAAATGGGTTAAGCAGCTTTGACCCAGTTGTTGTGTATTTTAGGAGACTGTCTTAGGAGAGCTTAAGTGATTGGGCTGCAGGAAGAAGACACCGAAACCCAGGAATTAGAAATGGATTCAGATTGTCTGATTTGAACAATTTAGTTTCACCATAGGCTAATTATGTGACATTGGGCAAGTGACCTAATTCCTCTGTACCTTACTTTCTACATTTGTAAAATAGAGATGATTTGGTAACTTATAATAAGATTTTTGTGAGAGATAAATAAAACAATATACTTTGTAAAGGGCCAGTGCCTGGAATATTTTAAGCAATTTGGAACTCTATGTTACAGAGTTTATAAGATTCTAGCTTGTTTTTTCTTCTCTTCATTCAACCTTTCTCTCACAGATTCAAACCACTCTTAATGGCTTTACCTTTCACATTAATGTGAGTGATTCCTAAATATGATTTATTTGCCTTCTTCTCAAATCCATACCCACAGATGCTTATTATTTATTTATGTGTACCTTTCTTCACCGTACTCCCGCTTTGCCATACAACTAGCTCCAAACCTCAGTCATTTTTACCTTGTTGCTCTCTCTCCAGTCCAACTCACCCAAGCTAGTCTTTCTCATTTCCTTTTTGTCTCATTCTTCTACCGGATTTATTAGCAACTGCCTAAACTATTAAAGCTTCCTGGTTGGGCTTTTGATTGTTCTGTTTCTGCCCCTTTCCAGTCTGTCCTATATACTGCCATCAGATTGATCAAAGCTGTGGTTTGTCTACTGTTTTAATTCATTTTTAGATATGGTATAATTCGTTTTTAAATTATATACCATACCAATGAAGATTACAAGATGTAAACATTTTATCAGAAGGGGACATTTATTTTTTTAATCAAGAAATACTTTCCAGAAGCATTGCTTTGAATGCCATTCTTTTAAAATTCTTCAGTGGAACTTTTGAGGGTAATTAGATATGTTCATTATCTTGATTTGGTGATTTCATGGGTGATGATTTCACACCAACTTATCAAACTGTATACTTAATTGAGATGTGTAGTTTATTGTACGTCAGTACTACCTCAATAAGGTTGTTTAAAAAAAAAAAAACAAAAACCTTCAGCAGCTCCCTACTGTTCATCAAATAAAGCCTGACTTTCAGTCTGATATTCAAATTCCCCCAGGATCTGGCCCTAACTGTCCTATATAGCCTTACTCAGTCATGATTCTCTACAATCCCAGTGCTCTGGTGAAACTGAGCCACTCACTAAAGCCGCCTTCCTGCTACTAGTCTCAGTGTTTCATATTGCTTTTTCTGAGGCTCTACCTATGGACATCTTCAAGAAGGTACATAGCCTTCATGGAAGAAGTGGCAATTCGGTCAGGTCTTGAAGAACAAGAAGTGGTCTTTGCCTCCTTGAACTTTTGTTTGCACCACTTTTATGTTTCTTGTCCAAAAAATGGCCTTAAATTGTAGTTATCTGTATAGTTACCGTCCCCACTAGAATAAAGGATCGTTGACTGACACAATTTGTTGTATACTTCTGTAGCACCCATCCTCTTCATTCTCTGACATGTATATCGATATTAAAAATATTCATTAAATGAATGAATAAATGGTTGACTCAGATGAGACTTCAAGTTTGATTATATTTGAACAGGATGCTAAGCTCGAAGAGTCCTGATGCTCTTTGTTCTTAAAACAGAAATGCTTTGGGTTTGGCGTAGTGGTTCACGCCTGTAATCCCAGCATTTTTGGGAGGCTGAGGTTGGTGGATCACCTGAGGTCAGGAGTTCAAGACCAGCTTGGCCAACATGGTGAAACTCCATCTCTACTAATACAAGTATTAGCTGGGCATTGTGGCACACACCTGTCATCCCAGCTACTCAGGAGGCTGAGGCAGGAGAATCGCTTGAACTCAGGAGGCAGAGGTCACAGTGAGCCAGATAGCACCATTTTACACCAGTCTGGGTAACAACAGCAAAACTCTGTCTCCAAAAAAAAAAAAAAGAAAAAAGAAAAAAATGCTTCAATTGCAAATTAGTTGACCTTTGCCTCTTGAGGATTCTGAAACCAAAGGCGGAGTATGCTTCCCTGTATAGTACGTGGGGGGTTGACTAGGAAGTCTGCAGCAGGTGAACTGAAGGGCTTAGTGAAGTCACAGAATGCTGCAGTGACCAGCAGCAGATTGGAAGATGGGTAGGGAGATTTCCTACTATGGATGATGTGAAAACATGAAAAATCAAACAAGCTTCATTAGAGGTATTTTATAAGCCTCCTCTGTGTGTGTGTTCATGTATAAAAGGAGAAACAAGCCTATTCTGGAGATAAAAGAGGTCATTTCTTTCTGACCATTTGCAGTCCTTCAGAGATGGACTCTGAAGCTCAGGACTGACGCCGTTCCTTTCATAACAATAGCCCTGCTGCTTGGGCAGCAGCATTCAGGAAAGTACCCTTTGCCAGGTTCCTGTGTCTCCATGTAGGAAGGTCCATCTGTTCCTGGCATAATGTAAGTGCCTAGCTAGAGACAAGACACACAGACTGTGCCAGGAAAAAGACATGGAGCGATTAGTATCATGAGCAACCAAGTGAGAGTAGATCCCTCACCAAAGCCTGACACACTAGCTTCCTTTACCACAACAGATTTGTTCTAGGTATACTGAAGACCATGTTAAGCACAGTGGGTTATACAAATGCATAGAAGACACTGTCATGCCTTTGATAGATCTGAAACTACACGGGCATCTTCGGAATAAACTCTTAAATAAATTTACGGGAGATTAGGAAATTGAATAAATGAAGAAAACTTCTATAGCTCAATATATAGATTTATATTGAAGAGATTCAGACTAGGAGAAGATCATGGTAAACAGAGTTAGGGGCAAGATTTTTGAAGAAAAAGCAATTGAACTTTATGGCTTTATTTTTATCATGGTGAGACTTAGGGGTAAAGGTGAGAAGTAGAAAAAGAAGCGGTAGTAGAACAAACAAGTTCTGTGGGCGATGTGGTTGGATAGGTGATGGGGCGCGGGGGGGGCTTGGTGACAAGCTAAGGAATCTAGACTCATTCCCACGGACCATCAGTAACTATTCTGACACTTTAGCATTAAAGTGCAGCTTTAAGAACTTTCATCCAGCCTTGGTTAACGGAAGATACCAGAATGGAAGACATACAGATGGGAAGATAATCTAAGTTTATTGCTATGGGAATCCAGATGTGAAAATGGGAATGGGGCTAAGTGGGAATAGAAAAGACAGGTTGAATCTAAAAGACATTAAGGAGAAATTTCCAATAGGCTTTGGTGATCAAGGGAATGCTTGCAAAGGACTGAATGTTTCACAGACAGTATATATATATATATATCCCATTGATATATCATATATATATATATATATATATATATATCCCATATCAAATCAATGACCCTGGGATGTAGGGAAAGGCAAGTGTAGAGAAACTAAAGCTAAGGTTGGGTAAGTATCTTCTCCAGGGTAAAACATGTCTTTTCCTTATCCAAAAGAGAGGATGTTCTGAGAACCCTGAGTGTTTTTCCTCTTGAATAGTTTATCTTGCCCTTATAGTCTTCTCTGAAATTCTCCTGAATTAGTGTTTATTGTAATCTAATTCCTGACCTCTGTGATACTGATATTTCCCCTTACACTAGCATACTCCCCCGCTCTTGGTGGAACAAGTGACATGGTGAGCAGCACTCTTCTCTGTTCTTCCTTCTGACCAAACACCTCAGCCACAGGAGGCAGCAGTGAGATGTGGCTCTTGGTCCCTCCTCTTGGGGTGGGCATCTACAATTTACTTCCCACAAGAGCTTACCCTTGATGGCTCTGGCAAAAATGTTGGTGGGTCTTTTATTGTATGGAATTGTTTGTGAGTCTTTTATTGCATGGAATTGTTGTGTTCACCTAGGTTTTATGCCAGACTGGTTTAAATGATTCATCATAAATTCTGAACTCTTTTAGGTATTTGCCAACCTTTACTGCATGTCTTGTTTCCCCTCCCCAGCTTTTATCTTCCCACAAGATACAAATGAGTCAACACAATCTTCACCAAAAAGCATTATGCTCTTATTGCCCTTCAGTATCTGTAGAAGGAAGTGTGATAAATTAAGCAGTAGCTTGTATTTTTAAAAAGATAATAGTTCCAACTTCTTGGAAGGCTGAAGTGGGAGGATCGCTGGAGCCCAGGAGCTCCAGACTAAGTTGAGTAACATAGCAAGACCCTGTCTCAAAACAAAACAAAACAAAACATCAAACCAAACCCCCTCACCCCAAAAAAATGAAGCTTTCTGTTTTCTTCTGTAGTGTGTTTTTTTTGCTTGCTCGAGTGGTCTGCTCAGGAAATGGCCTTGTAGCTAAGTGGGTTTTGGAGGTTTGGTTATTTCACAATGTCTCTATACCTTTTGGGTTTACAGTAGAATAGAATCTTAAGAATTGCTGCTTGCTTTTTTAAAAAGTGTGAAGTTCTGCCAAGGCATTATTTACAGATCCTTAGATTTTGAGGAAAAGGACAATGGAGGCATCTAAGCAAATTTTTTTTTCTTATCTCCTATTTATTTCTATCTTCTCCCTCCTTAAGCAGAAACAAGAAAGTTAGTAAGAGATTGTTTTGAAATATACACTTGAGAAAAATAGATGTAAATTGTATTAGTAGGTTTGCCTAATTAATTAATAAAAATAAAGTTCTAGTTTTATTGTAATTGAGGACATTCCAAGGGTAGAGAGAAATTATAAAATTATATGTCCAAATGTAGAAAATCATTTTCCTTTTAGGATTATACTTTGCTACTCTGCAATTCAGCAAATTCGTTTGGAGTGTTTTTATTTGTGTTTTCTTTCCCAGAGGTATTTAAGGAATGGTTTAATTTTGATTAGTAATTACATCTCTATCTTAGTTTTCAGGTGCTTTATTAACTGGCTGAGGATTTTTTTTTTTTTTACCATATTCTGGCTTTCTCACTGCTGTATGCCCATCTCCTAAGAAAATGCTTAGAATATAGTGAGTACTCAATACATTTGTTGAACAACTTAATGGATTTTTTAATGTTTATTTCTAGTTTTTTAAATGGTATAATAATTTTAAAAAGCAAACTTTAACCTACCACACTTGCATAATTGATTCTTTTTTGCATCTTTTAGTCTTTAACTATGTACATACTTTTACATAGTTTTAGTTACTATAAACTTGAAATTTTGTGTTTTTATGAATTAAAGCTTTTCCATATTTTATGTTTTAAAGTAGCCAAAGTGAACACCACATTACTTAGAGCAACAAGAAATTCTCTCTTCATTCTAAATGGGGATAATTTGGGAAATACACTATTCCCAAAAATATTGCTGAAGAATTCAGGCTTATTTTAATTTTTGTGTCCTGGGATTGAGTTCCTTTATTTGAAATATTGTCTCTAATTTGCCTGCAACCAAGATATCTCGATGATCTTTTTGCAGTATTTAGTAAAAGCATGAATTATCTTTAATGTTCAGAATCAGAATCATTATTTCCTGAAGGAAGTTTGAATAATTTTGCAAAACAGAAAGGATTGCTAATATCTTAAATAGAGGAAGTCCGAACAACACATTTCCCAGTTTTCTTCAGGATCAAGACTAATCTTGTTAACATTTGCTGAACTTCTGCCTTCAATAAAGACGATACGCTGATTTGGGGTGTTCTCACACTGAATTAGGCACTTGGGTAGACATGTATCCATTGAGAGGTTATGCAAGGTGAGATGTGGAAGGTTTTTCTAGAAGAGCCTGCCTTTCAGGGCCAAAATGCCACATGCACAGCATAGCTTCCTGAAACAAATTTCTTTCCTAAGACATTGGTTGCAGAATAGAAATGTGTTCTTTAGAAACAGTTCTTCAGGCGTTCTGCCCTGCAAGTGACAATGTTGTTAGCAAGGTGGTTGATTTTACTTTTTGTTTCTTTTTACCCACATTACAGATGCAGGATATTGTGCTAACTGCCTGGTCAGGTGCTCCTTGTGGGGGCTACTTGCTCTAGATCCTTTATAGACCAATACCCTCAGTCTTTATATCCAGAATCCAAGTAAAGCTTTAAAGTCTACTGGGAGGGTTGAAGACTTGCTAAAATCAACACTTTCCTTAATGGAGGTTAGCACTTCCACAGTCCTGGGAGAGACAAACTGTCAGAAGCATCTGACTTTGCTTCATTTAAAAGAGAGTTTGAGGTCTATATAGCGGACTTTAAAGTTCTGAATACACCTTCTGTGATGAACAGAAGTTTCTCATTGATCACACTGACAAGAAACCTTTCTGTGAACACGCCGGGTAGAAGATATGTAACTCTAAATAAGGTCTGTCTTCTTTTCTGGGCCTAACTAAACTTTGCAGAGTTCATATGGGACAGTGGGACAGAAGGAAACAGAAGGTGTCAACTGGGCCCTTGTGCTCACTAGGAAAATGGGGAGAGATAGAACTCATGCAGGAGGCCTGTAATTCTGCTCTTTCTCTGGGAGACAAGAAGGTGAGTTTTGCATTTGGGTAATGGAATGGAACAATCTCAGAGTTAAGGAGACCACACTTTATGTTCCAGTTAGTTTCTTGTTTGTTAAAAAGTTGAATTGTAACCAGGTTCCTTTGCTGAGAAGGAAGGCGCTAGGGCCCTGGAGTGAGATGATGGCTGTGTTCTGTGACCACAGGAGCTGGTTACGTACTAATTTCCTCTAGGGCTTGTGATGAAGTCAGTAACCACAGCCTTCAGCATGCTCTGCTCAGGCGGCAGCAGTGGCTTTTTGGAGGTGTCTCGGCCATGACACACATTTGATATGCCCTCCCTCAACCTACTCATAGACTATTTCTCTTGCTCTGCAGCATGGACCAAAGAGAAATTCTGCAGAAGTTCCTGGATGAGGCCCAAAGCAAGAAAATTAACAGAGAGGAGTTTGCAAATGAATTTACGGTGAGTCCTGTGTGTGACCCTCTCGGGGTAGTTACATACACTACTTAACTATGGTGGTCCAATTTTCTGTTCCTTTTTTTTTTTTTCCTTCAACTCATGTTCACCGTGAGGAGGTCCAATTTTCTGAGACCAAATTGCTCTTGGGATAAAGTAAATATCAGACCTTGGAGGGGAAGACAGAGAAAAAGGCAACCTAAAGTTTGACTTCTCTGAGTAGTCTGTATGTATTTTGAGTATTCTCTCAAAATTACTGGTTTTGATATTTTGTTTGCTAGTTCTTTGGAGCTTGGTTAGGAATCCTGCAGAAGACATATACAACTCCAGATGTAAAAACACTAATATTAATTGAACATCCATATTTCCCCAGGTATCTGAGTTGTGATTTATGTTTCATGTTACTAATTTTTTTAAGAGATACGGTCTTACTCTCAGGCTGGAGTGCAGCAGTGCAACCATAGCTCACGGTTGCCTGCGCTCAAGTGATTCTCCTGCCTCAGCCTCCTGAATAGCTGGGGCCACAGGTGTGTACCACCATGCCTGGCTAATGAATTTTTTTTTTTTTTTGTAGAGACGAGCCTTTTGCTTTGTTGCCCAGGCTTGTCTCTAACTCCTGGCTTCAAGCAATCCTCCATCTCTCCTCCCAAAGTGCTAGGATTACAGGCATGAATCACTGTGTCTGGCCATCCTTTTTCTTTTCTTTTTGTGTATGAAAAAAGATATTAGAACATGTGTTTTTTCAATAACAGGGCTTTCTTAACTTCTTTTGCTTGGAGAAGTAGATTGGCTAGGATGGGGAGTAGAGACAAGTGTAGGTCATGGAGAGAAGCATGAGTACAAGGTAGCTTCAGGTTGGGTGGATTAGATTACCCAGAAGAACAATGAATCTCCTTTGAGGGAAATGTGATTATTGATGCAATGGCAGCTGCGTAGGCCTCATCCACCCTACAGCTGGCATATCAGTTAACATAGGTGTCTAAGTATCTATCATCTACTTTAGAATACTTCCAGCTGGTGTTTCTGAGATATAAAAATTTTAAAGCTTAGTTCTTCAGTTGTGAAAAAAAGGGGGAATTGAAGTACAAACCTGAAATTAAATCATGGTTTTTTTTCACCAAGCAAATTATCAAGTATTTGACATGTTCTTTAATCTCTCTGTTTTCTGACTTATAAAATGGGGATAATAATTTATGTCCTACCTATCCTCACAGGATCATTGTGATGATTAAATATTAATAACAATCATTAAATGTAGTCATTTATTGAGTACTATTTATTGAGCACTTAGTATGTACCAAGTTCCGTTCAAAGGACAAAAATACAGCAGTGAACAAAAAGAACAAAAACCTTTGCCTCCTGGAGCTAACATTCGGGTACCAGACAGCAGATGTGAAAACTCTGAAAGTCTTGAGTAATTAGATGTTATTGAGTGGTTAGATATTATGCTAGGAACTCCTACGTTAGCTTAACGTGGATAATATTGTGGTACTTGAAAAATATGCTCTCACTGCCACTGGCCAGTCTCAGCCCCTCTTGGCCAGGTGAGGTGGTTTGCACCTGTAATTCCAGCACTTTGGGAGGCTGAGGTGAGCAGATGGCTTGAGTCTAAGAGTTAGAGACCAGCCTGGGCAACATAATGAAACTCCGTCTCTACTAAGTAGGTAAGGAGGTAAATAGGAAGTTCTAGCACATATATAGACATGTGTCTGCCCCTGGACTATAATTCCTAAACCAAAGTAACCCAAGGCATAGATGTAAAAAGTGAGCTGAGGGCTAGTGCCAGCCTCTGTTTTATTTTGGTTGTGTTTTTAAAAATGGCCAGGTGCGGGGGCTCACGCCTGTAATTCCAACATTTTGGGAGGTTGAGGTGGGTGGATCACCTGTGGTCAGGAGTTCAAGACCAGCCTGGCCAACATAGTGAAACCCTGTCTGTACTAAAAATACAAAAATTAGCTGGCCATAGTGGCGGGCACCTGTAATCCCAACTACTTGAGAGGCTGAGGCAGGAGAATTGCTTGAACTTGGGAGGCAGAGGTTGCAGTGAGCTGAGATAGCACCATTGTACTCCAGCCTGAGTGACGAGCTAAACTCCATCTCAAAAATAATAACAATAATGATAATACAATAATATATATATAAGAATAATATAATATATAGTATATACTAATATAATTTACATATATTATATATTATATAATTATAATAGCATAATAATGATAAAATAATAATGTAGTAATATAACTATATCCCTAATATTTTACCTGTTTTTAGCTAAAGTCCTTATAATTTCTCATCAAAATACAGCAGCTACTTTCTAACTGGTTTCCCTGCCTCTAACCTTGCCCCGCCTTCAATCAATTTTCAGTTCAACACCCGGGTGACCTTTTAATCATATAAATCTGGTCTTCTTTTGGAAACGGAGTTTTGCTTTTGTCACCCAGGCTGGAATACAATGATGTGATCTTGGCTCACTGCAGCCTCCACCTCCCTGGTTCAAGCAATTCTCCTTCCTCAGCTTCCCAAGTAGCTGGGATTACAGGCATGAGCCACCATGCCTGGCTAATTTTGTATTTTTAGTAGAGATAAGGTTTCACCATGTTGGCCAGGCTGGTCTCAAACTCCTGGTCTCAGGTGGGTCCACCTGCCTTGGCTCCGAAAGTACTAGGATTATAGGCGTGAGCCACCACACCCAGACAAATCTGTTCATTTTTTCCCTGCTTAAAAACTTGTTATATATTGTTTAGCTGCTTAATATTGTGCAATATACTACACATTTAGAAAAGTACAGAAAAGATCTAAGTATAATTATAAAGGAAACATTAGCAGTGCAACCACCACCCAAGTCAAAAAACTGTGGGACCCCTGAAGACCCCTGCCCCATCAGGTCCCCAACCCTCATCCCACCCTGTCCTGTCCTACCCTGCCCAAGGCATAATCACTATCCTGACTTTTATATTAATCACTTCCTTGCTTTTCTGGCTCCTGATTTTAAGGACCTTGTTTTTTGGTGGTGATTAAGTGTAACCTCACTGTTCACTGACTCATGTCCTCCAGTGGTAAATAGAGTCTTCCTCTCAGCTCCATCTAAAGGTTTCAGAAGAGACACCAGAAAGCAAGTTTTGGGGGAGTAGAGGCATGGTGAATGAGGCTGGATTGCTTGCTTGGACAAGGTAAATGCTGCCACTAAATTGGAGTGCTTTGATCTGGTCATGCTCCACGTCCCATCCTAAGCCCTTAATGTATTCTCCCAGGATTTGATGTTCCAAGGTTTGAGGACTGATTCTGTGGCACAAGGCCACTGTTCACTTAACTGATGGTACCTTTAGGGGAGTTATCAAAAGGCATCTCTATTTCCAGGTAGATTCCATGTGCATCCTAACCGCTTTACCGTCTCCCCAGGTTCATGGTTCAGATTTCAGTCTTCACCTCCTCCTTGGCCAGATATCTTTGTACAGAGCACAATATAGATGGCCCTCTGTATCCCCAACTTCCATATCCTGTATTCAACCAACGGTGGGTCAAAAATAATACAACAACAAAAAATAAAAAATATAGAACATAATTTATCTAGCATTTACATTGTATTAGGTATTATAAGTAATCTAGAGATGATTTAAAATATACAAGAGGATGTGTATAGTATGTGTAAATACTGTGCCATTTTATATGAGGGACTTGAGCATCCACGGATTTTGGTATCTTGAAAGGGGTGGTCCTGGAACTAGTCCCCCACAGATACTGAGAGTGGACTGTATTCCTAATTGGATGTGTCGTGTCAGCTAAAGCCAGTGGCTATGCTGTTTAGGTCTCTTCCCTGTGCCGGGACTAAATTCAATAACTTTTCTGTAGTTGAAGCTACCACTGACCACCCATCTAAGGTTTTCATACATTCATATAAGCATTTATTGAGTGCTTATTGTGTACAAAGTAATACCCTAGATGCTATGAATGTAATGCAATGCTCCATGCTTTAGTGGAGCTTATTTTCTAACACTATATATGTCTTAGAGAGGCAGACATTAAACAACTAATTACTATATTACATATTTAATATAATTGTGATAGTTTCAGTGGGGCGATCAAGGAAACATCAGCATTCATTATCTTATTTACTACTCCTTAAGAAAACCTATGAAATAGCTACAACTGTGATTACTGACCTACAAATGAGGAACCTGAAGCTCTGAGAAGTTAAATAATTAGCCTAATCTCACTTGGCTGTTAAGCCTTAGAGATGAAATTTACTCAGATCTGTCTTATTTCAGAGCTGTGAAATTAATTCTCATGCAATAGTGTTCTACTTCATCCAATGATACTGAGTCTCTTGAAGGACCTAGTCTTAGGGTAAGTGCATAGTTAGTATAGTTTTTTTTCTTTTTTCTTTAGTTAGTATAGTTTCTGCACAGCAGAACAACAGGATGCAACTACACTGTTGAAAAATTTAAAGGTACTTTCAAACATTCATTATTATTGCTATTCTTATAAAACAATATTATTGAAAGTTAAAAGAAAGTAAATTCACCATAGTACCAACATTCTAACAATCAAAACTTGTTTTGTGGATGTTGGCCAGGTGAGGTGGCTTGCACCTGTAATCCCAGCCCTTTGGAGGCTGAGGCAAGCAGATGGCTTGAGTATAGGAGCTAAAAACCAGCCTGGGCAGCATAGTGAAACCCTGCCTCTACTAAAAATAAAAAATTAGCCAGATGTGGTGGCACATGCCTGTAGTCTCAGCTACCTGGGAGGCTGAAGTGGGAGGATCACTTGACCCCAGGGGGCGGAGGTTGTAGTGAGCTGAGACTGCACCACTGCACTTCAGCCAGGGCGACAGAGTGGGACCCAGTCATACACATACACAAAAACCAACAATAATTTTAAATGGACCTTCTAGTTCTTGTCCATTTATATAATTTTTTATATTATTGTAATTATAGCATAGATACAATTTTGTATTCTCATATTTTTACTCACCATTATACCAAAATTATCAGGCGGATTAAAAT